AGAGGTTTAGCGCCCCCCTTCCCCTCAATTATGTTCAATAAACCCAGTTTCTATTTTTGAACATACGTGTCTTTTGTTTGACATGAGGAAGGGGGGCTAGGGAGGGGTAAGTGGAGGGACGTGAGGGAGGAATGGGGCACGAGCCCCCGGTGGGGAAGACCGGGAAGGCTCAGAGGGCTCCTCAGGGTGGACACTCTCCTGCAGGGCCTCCTGGATCCTGACAGCCCCCCGATGGATCCCCCCAGATGCCAGTCTGCAGCAAGTGCAGCCGGGCTGATGGCAATGACCCCACAAGACACACCGGCGTGCCCAGGGGCAGTCTGGCTCCATGTGGCTGAGTGCTGTGGTGTCCCGAGTTCGGGTACCCAGGGCACTCCAAGACAGGACTGCTTTGCTGTCCCTCATCGAGGTAGACAAGCAAGCGGGGAACCCTGAGAACTATCTGTCCAGTGTGGGGGTAGGGTCCCTTTAAGCACAGATCTCAGTTAGCCTCAGGTGGCAACCCCACACACTAAGTCCTAACCTGATTCCCTGCCAGCACTCGTTCCGGCCAGGCTTAACTTCAGGGTCCACTCAGTGTGGATGTGCTATTTCGAAATAGCTTTTGTGTGTAGATGCATTAATTCGAATTAACTTAATTCGAATTAACTATTTTGAATTAAGTTAATTCGAAATAGTGCTGTAGTGTAGACATACCCTCAGTCTTCCCTCCCAGATCAGGACTGCAGCAGAGGGGTAAATAGAGAATTCCTACCTATCCAACATCACCACTGGGATTGTCTGGGTTTCCTTTAATGTCCGCAAGAGGTGCCCAGGCACACAGGTGAGTATTGCCTGTTTCCTATCTCATAGACCTGGAAGGGACCTTGAGAGGTTATCAAGTCCAGTCCCCTGCCCTCACGGCAGGACCAAGCACCATCCCTGACTAATAGGAGTTAATGCCAGCATGCATTAGTAAACAGAAACAAATGTGATAGCAATGTGGAGCAAGACTTTTTCCTGAGTACTTTATTGCCCAACACACACGTACGCACAGAAGGAAAGAAGCCGGACTCTGTTTCCTTTCCTTATTGTCGGTACCAGAAAGACAGCTTTGACTGCTTGGTGCCTGAGATCACTCAGCTGAGGAACTAGGGAATTTCAAAGTGCACTTTGAGGCGCATCTACCCTTCCTCTCCCTGCTTCGACCTGATGCATCTCACAATTCTGTGGTAGCGTGAAACAACAGGAGATAGACTCTCACGTATCCAGACAACACAGCTAAGGGCAGATCTCCACACACAAAGAAGGTTGGCACCCAACTGCTACTGTGGTGGCATGTTTGGGCCAGAAGAACACATCACTCGGCACTTGTTCTTAAATGTTCCTGCTGTGTTGCTACATCTCCGAGCTAAGTGATTTTCTGGGGCAGGTAAAGCATCTGTTCCTGCTGCCTGCTGAGGTAATAAAGGCCGAACGTCTCAGCAAAGCAAGAGAAGGTGCAAGGAACTTCACACTCATTGCTGTCACCAGAGCTGCAGAGTAAGGACAAGGTCAGGCCAAGATCAGGTTCTGGCCAGCAGTGCTAAGATTATAGGGGATGGTGTATTGCTCCCAGTTAATAGAAGGTGGAGTTCCCATCCCTGCATATACAAAGCCCCCACAGGAATGCTGTCCAGTTTACTCAGAAAACCTCTCCGGTATTCCCTGCTTCCTGATCACCCGCATCCTGGTCGTCCTAGAAGCTTTTCCCTCGGAACCAGAGAAGCACCCGGACACGAATCTGTTTGGTTTTCACTCCGTACACGATGGGGTTCATCATGGGAGGGAAGAGGAGGTAAAAATTGGCCATCAGGATATGCACGTGTGGGGCGACTTGGCGGCCGAACCTGTGCACGGTTGAGGAGAGGACCACAGGGACGTAGAACACTAAGATGGCGCAGATGTGGGAGCCACAGGTGCCGAACGCCTTGAGTTGCTCTTCCTTGGACGCCAGGCTGAAGACAGCCCTGAGGATCCTGACATACGACACGATGATGAACATCAGATCCAGCCCCACGATGCAGAGAGCGACGATGATCCCATAGATGTTATTGAACGTGGTGTCGGTGCAGGCCAACTTCACCACGGCCATGTGCTCACAGTAGCAGTGGGCAATGACATGGGACCGGCAATAGGGCAGTCGCTGAAGGAGGAAGGGCAGAGGGGTCATTAGCACAACCGCCCGGGCCAAAGCCGCCAGCCCGATTTTCACTATCACTGAATTGGTCAGGATGGTGGCGTACCTCAGGGGGTTGCAGATGGCCACGTACCGGTCGAAGGCCATAGCCAGCAGCACAGCAGACTCCATGATGGAAAATGAGTGAAGAAAAAACATCTGCACCAGACAGGCACTAAAGTTGATCTCCCTGGAATTAAACCAGAAGATGCTCAGTATTTTCGGCACGGTGGTTGTGGATAAACCCAGGTCGATGACGGCCAGCATGGCGAGAAAATAGAACATGGGCTTGTGTAGGGAGGGCTCCGTCCTGATAACATACAACAGCGTGCAGTTTCCTAGAAGGGCCACGCTGAACACGGAGCAGAAGGGGATGGAGATCCAGAGGTGCATGGGTTCGAGGCCTGGAATGCCCATCAGGAAGAACAAGGACAGGTCAGAACTGGTGCCATTGGAACCTGACAGGATGTCTCGCAGGAGCATCCTCTGCAACTTCTCAATGTCTGTCCTGTCAATGAAACAGAAGAGCTCAGCTAAATAGACACAGCATACCTATATATGCATGAGAGTGGCCACACTCCACTCCAGATTTCAGGGTGCATCACTGGAAAACGATCATAAGGTCAGGAGCTGAGAGAAAAATTGATTGGGGGGGGGGCAAGAAGCCTTCACACTCACCTTTGTCACCAGAGCTGTACACGTGGGGGAGAGTGAGGACAAGGTTATGGCCAAGATCACCTTCCACCAGTGCTAAGATTGCGTAGGGGCCGGTGTGTTGTATTGATTGATGGGGAGTGCAAATTAAGAAATGCCTGGTGCAAGTAAAAGTAATGTGATATCAGTGTGAGGGGGAACGGTCACAGAAGACCCCTTGGGGGTGTTTCCTGGGGTGCTGACAAAGCCACTGCCACTTGCCGCCTTGTTCTGTGGGGCTTGTCACTGCCCTGTCCTGCTGGACCAGATCCCTGGACTTCCCCTGCCCAGGCACACAGCTGAGATCACTGGCCCCACAAGGAGCAATACAGACACTGAAATGCTTCAGGTCCAAGGAAAATGCAATTTGGGGCCCAGCTTCCTGAGACACTGACCCCTCAATGAATTATTTAGGTAAGCCCTTTTAACAATGAAAGGGGGAAAGTGCACACAGATTGCTCCTCCTGGTAACAATCATTCACACTGGGCTTGGGAGTCAATAAAAGTGATTTTATTAGGTACAAACAGTACGATTTAAGAGGATGTAAGTGAGAATAGGCGGAGCAAAGCTGATTACAAATTTAAAATAACAGAAAATGCTTGGCTAACTCTAACACTAAAACCTCGCTTCACGAGGCATAAGGGAGAGGTCGACAAAGGCTTCTCTTGTCAACCGATCCGCATCTTGACTCGCGCGCTGTGCTGACGATCAGCTGAGCCAGCACAGCGCGGTGGCCATTTTTATTTTAATGAATCGGGGATATTTAAATCCCCACTTCACTGACTATGTCAGGTAGCCTATTTTACACGCCTCTGTTGGCAGAGGCATGTAATCTAGACATACCCTTCCAGTGGAGAATGGATGTTCTCAGAGAGATGGTCTAGTTCAACTGCAAGCTCCTGAGCTTCATGCAGGAATCACTGGCTGGGGTCTTTAGCCTGGGCTATGCAGGAGGTCTGGCTAGATGGCCATCATGGGCTCTTCTTGCCTTAAAAATTTTTCACACTATGATTTCAACCTGCCCATGATGTTATGTCTAAAGCTGGCACCACACATCAGATCTGTGACTCCAACCCTTTTCTTCCAAGTTTCCCTGCCTGCCTTTGCACTCCCTTTTGTGTTGTCATGCGTATTTCTTCCAGGGCCATCGCTGTAGTGCTTGAGCAACACAATGAACCTTGTACTCCGTTTACAGCTGCAATTTTCCCATCTCAAATTAGCTTGCTAGGCCATTATTTTGCTATTTGGGGGCAAATGCATTGACTTTGCTGCTAAGCCCTCTCCTCTCTTTGACCTCTACCACTGCTGACAACACCTCTAGCCTCTCAGTCATGCAGGATTGCAACCTGAAAGACATCTTTGACCCTCTGACCTGCATGTGTGTATCCAAGGCCCATTGCATCTCTCCCTACCATGATCCTAAGATCTGACCTTTCTATCCACAAAGCAAAAGCTCTCCTCCACCTCTAGCCCTTCCCAGCAACCTCCTCCACTCTGGTCCTCAAGTCCCTTCTCACGCATCCAAAGCACAAAATCCCTCCACGGGATCTCATTGTCATTATAGCCCTTCACGGCTCTGCCTCCTTACTTACCAGTCTTCTCTTCTCATAGGGTACGTCTAGACTACAGGCTTCTGTCGACAGAAGTTTTGTTGACAGATACTGTCGACAAAACTTCTGTCGACAAAGCGCGTCCAGACTACATTGAGTTCTGTCGACAAAGCAAGCTGCTTTTGTCGACATGGTAGTCTGGATGCAAAGGACAGTTTCCATTCAATAACACCTTCTGTCGACAGAAACTCTGTCGACAGAAGGTGTTATTCCTCGTAAAATGAGGTTTACATACGTCAACAAAACTGCTGAGTTCTGTCGACGTTATGTCGACAGAACTCAGCGGTAGTGTGGATGCAGGTATAGTTTTGTCGACAAAAGTCCACTTTTGTCGACAAAACTCTGTAGTCTAGACACACCCATAATATTGTCCCCAACCCCTCTACTCTGCCAGGGGCGGAACCCCTACCTGCCTGCTTTTCCCATGCTGCCCCCCATATACAGAAGTTCCTCCCTAAAGTGGCCTGTGCCAACACTCCCCACTCCTTCACATCCATCCTCAAGACCCACTAGTAACAATGGATAGTTGGGTAGAGCTGACGGACATGTATTTAACATAGCCAATGCTTATAATGGTAGGAAAAAACCGTGCATGTTTTGGTTTGTATCCCTTTATCTCTTCCACTATATGTTACAGCGGGGTTAATGACGATGGAAAAAAAAGTCTGTGTCAGGTGTGTGTGTGTGTGTGTGTGTGTGTGTGTGTGTATAGTGCCTCACACATTGTGTGTGGTATCCCAAGGTCAGTAATTCTCAATATCTAGAGAATATACAAAGTCATCCCAAACTTTCCAACCATTTGGTGGAGGAATTTTATCACATGGCTCCTTGCTCCATCCCATCATTAGGTTTTAGTGCTTTCCACTTTGGTTTTAGCCACAGTGGTCTGCCGACATGAACGTGGGCTCTACATGCTGCTGTATGGGGACAATTATTTCCAGGCACAAATTATGCCTCTAGAAAGGAAGGTCAGGGTTTTTTAAAAAAAATCAAGCCTCAAATGTAACCTGCATAGTTCCTTTCTCATACACTGCATTCCGTGACCCCTTTCAGAATCCAGGCTCCTCAACAGACAAGGACGAAGACCAATGCTGAAGTCAAGAAAGGAAATCTGCCTGTGAAACGTCTAAGAACCTCTCGACTCCACATTTTCAATCTTGGCTGTTGAAAGTATTTGCCTTCATCCATGCTTGGGCGCACAGCTTGATTTTTAGGGGGTGCTGAACACCCACTAGCTCCCATAGAAAACCAGGTGCCTAAATATAGTCTAGGTGTCTAAATATAGTCTACTAGCCGATGTTAGAATCCTAGAATCCTAGGGCTGGAAGAGACCTCAGGAGTCATCAAGTCCAGCCCCCTGCCCAAGGCAGGACCAATCCCAACTCAATCATCCCAGCCAGGGCTTTGTCAAGACGAGACTTAAAATCCTGTAGGGCTGCATATTCCACTACTTCCCTAGGGAACCCATCCCAGAGTTTCACCACCCTCCTAGTTAAATAGTTTTTGCTAATATCAAACCTAGACCTCCCCCACCGTAATTTGAGACCATTGCTCCTTGTTCTGCCATCTGTCACTTCTGAGAACAGCCTCTCTCCATCCTCTTTGGAACCTCCCTTCAGGTACTTGAAAGCTGCTATCAAATCCCCCTCACTCTTCTCTTCTGCAGACTAAATAAGCCCAAATTCCTGAGCCGCTCCTCATAGGTCATGTGCTCCAGCCCCCTAATCATTTTTGTTACCCTCTGCTGGACCCTCTCCAATGCATCCGCATCCTTTCTATAGTGTGGGGCCCAGAACAGGACATAGTACTCCAGATGTGGCCTCACCAGTGCCAAATAAAGGGGAATAATCATTTCTCTAGATCTGCTGGCAATACTCCTCCTTATGCAACCTAATATTCCATTCGCCTTCTTGGCTACAAGGGCACACTGTTGACTCATATCCAACTTCTCATCCACTGTAATCCCCAGATCCGTTTTTGCCCAACTGCTACTTAGTCATTCAGTCTCCAGCCTGTAACAATGCTTGGGATTCTTCCGTCCCAAGTGAAGGACTCTGCACTTGTCCTTGTTGAACCTCATCAGATTTCTTTTGGCCCAATCCTCTAATCAATCTAGGTCACTCTGGACCCTATCCCTGCCCTCCAACATATGTACCTCTCCCCCAGCTTAGTGTCATCCACAAACTTACGGAGGGTGCAATCCATCCCCTCATCCAGGTCATTAATAAAGATGTTGAACAAAACTGGCCCTGGAACCAATCCTTGGGGCACTCCGATAGAAACTAACCGTCAACCTCACATCGAGCTATTGTTCACTGCCCATTGGGCCTGACAGTCTAGCCAGCTTCCTCTCCATGTTCCCAGTGTTGCTTGGGTCTGTAACTCTAAGAGTTTTTTTAATAAAAGGAAAATATACTTGCTTTATTTAAATGACTGTGTTTTTCAAAAATACAGCACTTTTTTTAAGTGAATTTTTATTTTGGATGTCTTAAAAAAGGGATTGTTAAAATTTTTCTGGGTTGGGGTTTTTTTTTTTTTTTTTGTAAAATTTTTCATGGGAATTCCATCAACTGTATTTTTTTCTCTATATCGATAAACTCTGATCATTCGCTATATTTTCACAAAAAGGGGCTCTAGTCAATTTGGTTTCCAATAACATTTTTTAGTTTTCAAACCTTAAGCATTGAGTTAGCTGGATCAAAACAGCTACTCCAAATGTCTCCATTTTATCTCTTTTTTGTAAGGTTTATTGAGAAGCAATCCTATTCTAGGTTCATCCTATATTTTAGGCTCAGCTTGATTCAGTCTCTTTCAACATTTGCTCAGTTATGTGCTTGATTTGGTGATTCTTCCTCTTTTCTCTTTGGTTGTACAAGAAGCAAACCCATTCTAGGCACATCCCACTGTCCTGGCACAGCCAATCCCTTACATTGCTTTAAGTTATGATCAGAGGAAGCTGCATAGCAAATTTGGTAGTCCTAGCTCTTACCGTGTAGGAGGAGTTTTTAATCAAACAGACAAACAAACAGACAAACTCTCTAAAATATATAACATAGAGCTACCAAGATAGGCACCTCAGCTTGATCGTATGGGGGGCAGTACGAACCTACAGAGGAAACAGAAAATGAAAATAGATAGCAGCAGAATTTGGATCA